CATCCTCTAAATGTGTTGCATGCTGCCAACAGAAGCTTCTCTGTTTCCAATCAGAATTGCATTGTTAATCTATGACCACCTTTTGGTTCCATTGCTGGAAATGGTTTACCACACTGGATGTTCGCCTTCTTTTTCCCCTCCCACTGATATCAAAGCTAATGGAATCTCAGTACACACACAGCACCCTATCTGGATCCATCTGGGGCGCAAGCAAACAAACAAAATTATGTCACAGAGATATATATGAGTTCCTCCTGAGCCTAAAATAATCTGGATCATTTTGACCCATTTCCATGCGTCAACTCCATTTCTAGGTCCCTTCTGTGCAAGCAGAGCCAAAACATGTTTTCTCAAAAGGGCGGTTGATTATATTTAGACTTGCCACTTCAGTCTCAAGGTGAAATATCAGTAACTGCCTATTCCCTCCCACCAGTAAGTAACAGTAGTAGCAGTTGTTGTAATTGCCATTTTCAGTCTTCTAGGTGTTACTGTCTGGAGTTTTAGAACCTCAACAATTTTGATTTTATCCAATAATTTAGGAATTGGTGAAGTATTGTTGGGTAAAAGGGCACATTCCGAACAGTGTTGCTTTTTGAAATTGTGCTATTGTGATCTGATCTACAGTGATTTCATTCAGATGCTTTTGTTAGTCCATTTAATTGCTCCCAGAGAAACTTTCACTATTGGCTTCACAATTATTTTCCCAAAGATTTTGAAGCACAATTTGTAGGTCTTGATATTCCATACTCTTTACTGTCTCTTTGTCTTTACTTTCTCGTCATCATTGTTGTTGTTGTTGTTATCTCAACCCAAAGTATAAAATCAAGAAAGGCTGGTAATGCCTTTGCTAATACTCCAAGCCTGAATGTACAAATGAAAATCTAAATTAACTAGATACATTAGTTAAATTAGGGGCCACGGTGGTGCAAGGGATGAAACCGTTGACCTGATGAACTTGCTGTCCTGAAGGTTGGCAGTTCAAATCCATGGGAGGGGGTCAGCTCCTGCTGTTAGCCATAGCTCCTGCCAACCTAGCAGTTCAAAAACGTGCAAATGTGAGTAGATCAATAGGTACTGCCTTGGTGGGAAGGTAAAATGAGGCTCCATGCAGTCATGCCGGACACATGGCCAGGAGTTATCCCCGGACAATGCAGGCTTCTTGGCTTGGAAATGGAGATGAACACCTCCCCCAGAGCCAGAGATGAGCACCACCTCCAGAACCAGAGATGAAAGGAGAAGCCTTTGCCTTTGTCTGTGTATTTGTGTTTCATTGTATTTCATTGTATCAAAAGGCATTGAATGTTTGCCTGTGTCTGTATATATGCTGTAATCCACTTTGAGTCCCCTTGGGCAGAAGGGTAGAATATAAATAAAGTGTTACATTATTATTATTATTATTATTATTATTATTATTATTATATATTGAGTGTGCAGCTGAGTCATTCTTTCTTCTTTCGTTTACAAGTTAGTGTGCAGGGTCTAGTTCTGGGATAATTATGTATGCATAATCTTTGAATGCTTTTTGGTATTATCATTGTTGTGGTTTTAATGCTTTTCAACTGTTTATAATTAGTGCTGATATCACTAGGATTTTTTAAAGTATATAATTTTTAGGTTTTTTAAAAAGAGATTTGAGTTAGATTTTTTAAAAAAAAAATGTTGCAAACTACCTTTATGTCCTCTTTTTGGGAGAAAAAAGGAATATAAGTAGATCTATTGAGTTGGAGCTGTCAACTTCTGTCCCAAGCCACTGTTTCCTCTAAGTTCACTCCCCTGTGTTACATGGGGTGTCTGTGTACAATGTCCGTGTGTAAAAAGCCAGCAAAAAGAAAAAGAAAAAAGGAAGCCTTTGGGGAAGTTTAAAATGAAACAGCAGAACTTCATGAAATCTTAATAAAGGGAACCGATTGATATTTACGCATGAGGGAGCACTGAGGCAGAGAGGGAACTGTATAAGGCCAACCAATATAGACTTTATTTACCAAAAACCCTTGCAATTTTACTTGCAGTTTTTAGACTATTGGAATATTATTACAGCAATAGAAACCTATGCCGAAGCACTTGGAAGCTTACCAGCAGATGTCAATTTACCTTCCTCAAGCCACAGTGTGAGAGGGAATCATGTTCTCTATGGCAGTGGTTCCCAATCTTTTTTTTTTTGACCAGGGACCACTTGACCAGGGACCGATTTGACCAGGGACCACTCTCCAGCATCAGTTCCTACAGAGTTATGAATCAGTTTTTGGTCAACTTTAGATTCGGTTTGGAGTGCTGATACAGAAAATTGCATTGGATAGACCACATCAGCTCTAGTTTCTGATACAAAACATATGCCATGGTCAGCGACAGGGAAGGAGTGGCAGGCAGCATTACAAGAGCAGAAATAAAATAAAGAGGAAGGAGGCTCTCAGACCGGATTTTTGTCCTTGCGGCCTACTGGTGGTCCACGGCCCACAGGAATCACTGCTCTATGATGTGGGATGGTCAGAGAGAGAAGAGGAAACAATAAAAAAAATGAAGGGAACAGGCACTGGAGACACTCTGCTAAGGCAAGGGAACCAGAAGCAAGTGGAAAGTCACCAGTTTCCTCAAGGCAGTAATTTTATACTGATTAATACTAAGGTTCCTTCTAATAATAATAATAATAATAATAATAATAATAATAATAATACTTTATTTATAATCTGCCCTCTCTCCCCGAAGGGACTTCTACATAGCCATGTAACCCAGAATATCAAGGCAGATTATCCACCATACTGCCATATAATCCAGTTAAATGTGGATTTTATACAGCTGTGTGATCTAAGTTTCCTTCTGCACTGCCATATAAAATCCAAATTATCTCCTTTGAACTGGATTAAATGGCAGTGTAGACTCATATAATCCAGTTCAAAGCAGAGAATCTGGATTATCTGCTTTGATAATCTGTATTATATGGCACGGCAGTGCAGAAGTGTGATTTTAATATTTATATTGATATGTTTTTAATTCAATGTTTTAATGTTAAATCATGTTGTGTTTTATGATTTAATTTACTTGGCACTGCAGTGTAGAAGTGCGATTTTATGTTATCGTTATTTATTTATTTATTTATTTACCTTACTTATATACCGCTGTTCTCAGCCCGAAGGTGACTCACAGCGGTTCACAACAAATACGAACAGCAAAAATTCAGTGCTACAGTATAAAAACAGTTAACAACCTAAAACATTACACAATTAATAAACAGTTACTACAATACCCATTATGTTAAGTTTCTGTATGTGAGGCATTAAATTTTGCCATAATTATGCTGGAAACCGCTGTCCCTGATTGCTTCCCCATTGGAGTTCCATGTGTTTGAGTGTTGTTTTACTGTTATAATTTTAGAGTTTTTTTTTTAATATTGGTAGCCAGATTTTATCATGGTTTCCTCCTTTCTGTTGAAATTGTCCACATGCTTGTGGATTTCAATGGCTTCTCTGTGTAGCCTGACATAATGGTTGTTAAAGTGGTCCAGCATTTCTGTGATCTCAAATAAAATGCTGTGTCCAGGTTGGTTCATCAGGTGCTCTGCTACGGCTGACTTCTCTGGCTGAAGTAGTCTACAGTGCCTTTAATGCCATTGTTTACTTAGTCCAAACCTAGGTGATATTGCTCAACCAGGGGAACATGTTACACGATCAGGACAAAATGAAACCAATGCTTCCTCTTCATCTTGGAAAGAAGCGACAAGTGGAGTGCCGCAGGGTTCCGTCCTGGGCCCGGTCCTGTTCAACATCTTTATTAATGACTTAGATGAAGGGCTAGAAGGCATGATCATCAAGTTTGCAGACGACACCAAATTGGGAGGGATAGCCAATAGTCCAGAGGACAGGAGCAGGATTCAAAACGATCTTGACAGATTAGAGAGATGGGCCAAAACTAACAAAACGAAGTTCAACAAGGACAAATGCAAGACACTCCACTTAGGCAGAAAAAACAAAATGCAAAGATACAGAATGGGGGATGCCTGGCTCAAGAGCAGTACGTGTGAAAAAGATTTTGGAGTCCTCGTGGACAACAAGTTAAACATGAGCCAACAATGTGATGTGGTGGCAAAAAAAGCCAATGGGATTTTGGCCTGCATAGTGTCTAGATCTAGGGAAGTCATGCTACCCCTCTATTCTGTTTTGGTTAGACCACATCTGGAATATTGTGTCCAATTCTGGACACTACAATTCAAGAGAGATATTGACAAGCTGGAATGTGTCCAGAGGAGGGCGACTAAAATGATCAAGGATCTGGAGAACAAGCTCTATGAGGAGCGGCTTAAAGAGCTGGGCATGTTTAGCCTGCAGAAGAGAAGGCTGAGAGGAGACATGATAGCCATGTATAAAATATGTGAGAGGAAGTCCTAGGAAGGAGGGAGCAAACTTGTTTTCTGCCACCCTGGAGACTAGGACACGGAACAATGGCTTCAAACTACAGGAAAGGAGATTCCATCTAAACATGAGGAAGAACTTCCTGTGAGAGCTGTTCAGCATGGAACTCTCTGCCCAGGAGTGTGATGGAGGCTCCTTCTTTGGAAGCTTTTAAACAGAGACTGGATGGCCATCTGTAGGGGGTGCTTTGAATGCGATTTCCCTCCTTCTTGGCAGGAACAGGACAGGATAGCCCACGAGGTCGCTTCCAATTCTATGATTCTATAAGTAGTCTGCAGTGCCTTGAATGCCATTGTTTACATAGTCCAAAGCCAGGCGATATTGCTCAGTTCAACCAGGGGAACACGTTACGCGATCAGGACAAAATGAAATAACAATGGTAGCAACGCAATTATAGAGAGGGACTATATAAAAGAAAGGAAAGAAGGGCGCCTAGACTCCTTTCCCAGGGACCGTTTTCAAGCCAGGTTTCAAGCCAGGGAGTAGTAGGGGGTCCCTCGGGGGCGTGGCCTCTTCGCTCCTCGGGCTGCCAAAGAGGCCCAGAAGACCCCGCCCCCTCTGCGGCGTCTACCAATCGGCGCGGGAGTGGGCGGAGCCAAGCGGATTTGGAGTGGGCGGCGGGCGCAGAGGGAAGCAGGGTCTGCAGAGGCGGGAAACGGGCAGAAAGGAGCAGAGCCTCCGCCTGTGCGTCTCTGCACGGTTCTCTTCCTCGGAACTGCTGACAGTCAACCAGGGGAAGCCCAGAGGCGCAGGTAAGAGAAAGAGGGAGAGAGAGAGAGGAAGGAAGGAAGGAAGGAAGGGGGAGGGGCTCACACTTTCCAAGTTTCCCTTCCCTTGGGCACGCCTCCCCCAAGCACCCCCTGCACTGCCTTCCAGTCCCCATTGCCTTGCTCTCTTTCCCCAATGCAGAACGAGAGACAGAGGAAAGGAGAGCCCAAGGAAAGGAGATGCATCCTAAGTCTACCTGCATGAAAGGACACCCAGTCGAGGGATTCCAGCCCCACCTGGGGGCCCTTCCGCACAGCCCTATGTCCCAGAACACCAAGACAGAAAATCCCACAATATCTGAGTGTGGAATCAGATAACCCAGCTCAAAGCAGATAATGAGGGATTTTCTGCCTGGATATTCTGGGATATAGGGCTGTGTGGAAGGGCCCTGTGTCTGAGGAAGTAGACTTTGCGGGTTAAAACTTGTCATGTTCGAACTAATCGAATTTAGGGCCAGAGTCCTGATCACTGTCCTATTTCACATCCCTTTGTGTGTACTTGGGATGCATCTCTACCATAGAAGTCCTGCAGCTTGACACCACTTGAACTGCCAGGGCTCAATGCTACTGAATCCTGGGAGTTCTGCTTTGACAAGGTCTTCATCCTTTGAGGGCTGGTGCCTCACCAAACTATCAATCCCAGGATTTTATAGCATTGTGCCATGACAGTTAAAGTGGTGTCGAGCTGCATGAATGCCTTGATGGACCCTTCCATACAGCCCTATATTCCAGAAAATCAAGGCAGAAAATCACACAATATCTGCTTTGAACTGGGTTATCTGAGTCCACACTCAGATCATGTGGGATTTTCTGCCTGGATATTCTGGGATATAGGGCTGTGGGGAAGGGTCCAAGGTCTTCGTCATTCTCTGCCAAAGAGTGCTGGTACTTCACCAAACTATCAATCCCAGGATTTCATAGCGTTGTGCCATGACAGTTAAAGTGGTGTTAAACTGCGCTAATTCTTTGGCATAGATTAGGCATGGGCAAACTTTCTAACTTGGGGGCCACATGGCAAGCTGGAGCAGAGTGGGTGGGCCGAGAGGGAGGGGATTCTCCCAAGCCCCCTCCCTGACCTTTCCTCCCCTTCCTCTTCTCTTTTGGAAGCATAAAGTGAAGAAAAGACAGGAAATGTTTGGATCCCAAAAGGGTTGGCCTTGGTCAGGATGGGATGGTGGGTGGGAGAGAAAAAGTGTATCCATTAGACCCCATATTGCCTACTGTAGATGTCTAGAATCCTAGAGCTTGAAGAGACCCCCAAGGGTCATCCAGCCCAACCCCCTGCCATGCAAGAAGGCACAATCAAAGCACCCCCCCTAGACAGCTTCTGCGGAAAAGCCTCCAGAGGAGGAGACTCCACCACACTCCCAGGCAGCCTATGCTACTCTCCAGGAAGTTCTTCCTAATCTTTTCAGTCGAATCTCTTTTCCTGCCATTTGAAACCATTGCTTCCTTGTGCCCTGGTCTCTAGAGCAGCAGAAAGTCAGTCTTGCCCCTCCTCCTTAACGGGACATGCATCCTAAGTCTACCTGCATGAAAGGACACCCAGTCCTTCTCTTCTTCCAGCTAAACATCCCCCAGGAGGAAAGGTCGAAGGAAAAAGAGAAGGAAGGGTGGAAGGGGAGGGAGGGAAGAGAGAAGGAAGGAAAGACAAGGGAAGGAAGGAAGAGAGGAAATAGAGGGTGAGAGGGAAGGAGGGAAGAAAGAGAGGGGGAAGACAGAAAGGGTGGAAGGGAAGCAGGAAGGGAGGGAGAGGGAAGGAAGGGGGGAAGGAAGGAGGAAGGAAAGAGAGAAAGAAGGAAGGAAAGGATGGTGAGAGAGAAAAAGGGCCTGAGAAAAGAGCCTAAAGGGCTGCATCTGCCCCCTGGGCCTGGGTTTGGCCATATCTGCTCTAACCCCATAGATACTGTGCCACAATTAATTTAAGAACAGACCAAATATCAAGGCAGAGAATCCCACAATATCTGTTTTGAACTTGGTTATCTGAGTCCACACTGCCATATATTCCAGTTCAAAACAGAAAATGTGGAATTTTATTCAGCTGTGTAGAAGGGGCAAGTTTCTGCCTTAAACTGGATTATATGAGTCTGCACTGCCACATAATCTGGGACAAACAGAAAATCTGGGATCAGATCCTGGGATACAGGGCCTGTCTGGGAGGGCCCTTAGTCTGTGAAAGTTTATGCTGCTAACTTCATTCTTTCAGGCCCCTTCTACACACCATATAAGATCCAGATGATTTGTTTTGAATGGAATTATCTGGCAGTGTAGATTCATATAATATAATATAATATAAACTGGATTATATGACAGTGTAGAAAGGGTCTCAGACTCTAAGCTGCTTCCAGAACCCATGGCATGTTAAAGCCACAGGTTTTCAAGCATATTTACACATTTGGACGCTTGGGCAAATCACACACTCTCGGCCCCAGAAAATCCCATGATAGGCTTGCTGTAAATGCACTTAGGGCTGCACAACAGGAATACCAAAAAAATCTTACAAGAGCTGTGTAAGATCAAATAGCTGGTCTGTTAGTGTATTTGCTTGGCAAAGTAAGTTGCCTTAGTGCCCTTCCACACAACCACATAACTCATAATATCATGGCAGATAACCCACAATTTTTGCTTTGAACTGGATTATCTGAGCCCACACTGCCATATAATCCAGTTCAGTGTGGATTTTATACAGTTGTGTGGAGGGGGCCTAAGAGTCAAAAGCTTCTTTGAGGAGGTTTCTTTTGCTATGCATACAATTCTAAGGACTCGTCTTAATATGTGCAGGTGTTTCTCATGTTTCCAGTTAAGTCAGAAACCCACTGAAAGTACAATTGAAAAGCTCAGAAAGTTGGAAGGCAGCAGATTAACAGTTGTGCAAGAGTGGTGTTTCCCTTCTTTTTCAGGGCATTGGAGTAGATGGTCCCTGTGGACCCTTCCTATTCTGTAATTCTGACTCTCCCCTAGAATAGCTCCATTCCAGATTCCTTCCCCAGAGCTTCTTTTCTATAGAAATAGTCAATTTGTTCTGCACACTTCTATAAGTTTGGGCTTTAAGATCCTTTCAGACCTTTCTTTACTGTGCTTTTAGTTTTGTTTTAATTTCTATACATGGTTGAGTGGAGAAGACTTTTGTTACGCTGACATGTCTGTGGTTTACCCAGCAGAGGTCTCTTCCACATGGCTATATAAAATCCACATTGAACTGGATTATATGGCAGTGCGGACTCAGATAATCCAGTTCAAAGCAGATATTCTGGGTTATATGGCTGTGTGGAAGGGCCCAGAGATGTCTGTCTCATCATGCCCCACTCTGCTTAGACTATGAACTGCTAGTGAGAAAAAAAAGTCATTAGGACATAGAAAAGTCCTTGATAGAAAGAAAAATGTTATGACAGGAACCACTGCAAATCATAATGACTTTCCAACTCCACCCACTATTCTTCTAGCTGTTGGAAAACTTTAATTTCCTTTGTGATTTGTGATTTCTTTGTTCACTTCCCCTCCCTTCCTCATTGTTGGAAAGTCAAAACTTCCTTTGAGATTTGCATTATGGACTGGAAATTTGCCAGGTATCAACTGGATTTGGCTTGGAATGTTTAGATGTGCAGTTGTAGCTTGTTTATTGCATTGTGAATATTTTCAGGCGAGGATCCAGCTAAGGTTTGAGTTCCAAAACATCTGGAAAATCTGTTCCACCTTTTCACTTCTTTCCTTTCCATTGAAATCAAACAAACAAAACCCAAAACAGCCATCCTTTCCAAGGCTTCATTTACTGCAGAGTTTAACTTTTCAATTTGCTGTTTAAGGCAATCATTTGCAGGTTTGTCAAGTCCCATTAATGTAGTTGTTAGGACTCTAGAGAACCATTTTAATTATAAAATGTGTAACATGATAATGTTGGGGATGGGATAAATAATTGCTACTGGAAAATTAATGTGTCATTTCTTGAGCTGGAAAAAAACTGCAGAAAATATTTTATAGTCACATTTATTAATGATGATGATAGTATTCACCGATTCTGTTCGTGTGTCCCTAAATTTTAGTTCCCTTATTTTCTTCAAAAATACAAAATTAAGGAAGGCCTAAATATTCGGCACTAAATCCCATCTGATAGTGGAAGCTAAGCATGCTCATCTTTGGTTAGTACTTGGATGGGAGACCAACAAATACCAAGTTCTGTTGGCTATATCTGAGGAAGAAATAAGCAACTATACATTATCTCAATGCCTGCATGGGCATTATCTCAATGCCTGCATGTGCATTATCCCAATGCCTGCATGTGCATAGTGTTAACGGTTGAGGATCAAAAGAGGGGCCCCTTCTACACTGCTATATAATCCAGATTATCAAGGCAGATAATCTATAAAGACTTCTTTGAACTGGATTATCTGAGTCTACAGTGCTGTATAATCCAGTTCAAAGCAGAAAATCTGGATTTTATATGACAGTGTGCTAGCTGAAGTGGTCTTTCAGAAAGCATTTGGACTTGGAGTATAATTTAGCCAAAGATTAGTTCCATGCTTTAAAATAGAGGTGTTAATTGCTTTTGAAATTCTCTTTCATTAACAACAGTTCAAAGTAAAGTTACTTAATGTGGCTAAAATGTGCCCTCAAACAAACAAATTTGGTTCTGTTGTGATTTAGGATTTTATCATTGGTTTTGCAGAAGTAGGGTCCACCACATTAGGAAGCAGAGCCATTATGTCACCCTATTAAGTGGAGCTTATTAAAAAAGAATGTAAAACATTTATGAATGATAAAAATAATAAATTTTATTTGTACCCTACCCCATCTCCCTGAAAGGACTTGGAGCAGCTTTCATCAAGGAACATGGAATCATAGGCAAAACTTAGCAGGCATCACACAACAGCAGAAAAATGCAAAATGTAAACAAAGATAATAACATACACATTGTTTGGGGCTTTTGAGTAATTACTTTGTTGGGATTAGTAGTTGAGTATGTAGTACATTCAGTATCAGAAATTAAAAAGAGGAAGCAAAACATTTACCTGGAAGCATAACATTTGTAAGCTGAAAAACAAAATATTGTTTCTTAATGGGAAATAAATATGAATACAATCTGAATTATTAATGTTCTTTTCAAAGAAGCAGATGCAATTGAACAAGTCTGGTGAGAAGTTAACATTGTTTTTCTTCGTTTCTTCTTTATGGATACAGGACATGTTTGATTCGGAACAGGGTGCTTGCATCTTAATGTTGTGGAAATTAATGGGATGTAAGAGGGAGGGTCTAAAGCCCTAATTGTTGTTGTTTTTCATGGATATATGATTGCAAATCCTTAATGTCAGATGCCTTGTATCTATATGCAAACTGCTAAATCTAGCATAGAAGTCAATGCAGCTATTTGCTGTTTGGCTGAATTGGGCAAAAAAAAAAAAAGTCCTTTGGAGCTATATGGAAGTCTTTGGTCCTCCAGATGTTTTGGGTATCGGCTCCTAGACCTTCTGACTGTTGGCAAATCTGGCTGAGGCTTCTGGGAAATAAAGTCCAAAACACCTGGAGACCAAAGTTTGGGAACCATTGGGTAAAGGAAATCCATTCAACCAGTTCTTGAGTAGTGTATTAACAAATACATCCCATTGATTTAATGGATCTGCTCTAGTAGGAGATAATAACAGGATTTAGGCAATTGTCTTTTCTGGAAAAATATGGATCTGTACAGCTAAAATAATAGGAGGAAAACAAAGATGGAGATAAATTATGCAATCCTCTTTAGATTTGTCCCTTCTTCTATCTTTTCCCAGCCAGTCCTTAGCAGTCTTGATATTGTTTACCTCTTGGTAGAAGATTGCCTATTATGTGCAGACAAAAACTATGTAACTATTAAATAATAACAAAAAGTGATGAGTTCACAGCAGGCGTTGTTTAAATAATATATTAAGCGATGAAACATGTGTTCCCTTGACTTTCCGCCTCTGACAACACAATTTGTGTGCAGATGCTACATTATTGCTAACTCATCTTTAAAATGTATGTTCTGCTTTCAAAAAGCATCTGTAGACTAAAGAATAATCTCATTGCACTTTTTAATCTAATTTTTCTGCTTTTAAAATTAATGAATAACCTAAATGAACTTTCTGTTTCTTGCCGCTGAACAAGACTGTCGACTTCTACTGTTATGATATATTCTGTTTGCATTGGTAATGATAGAGTTGTCTTTCAAATCCCATATTACCAACCACTTGTAGGGAAAACCTTGATGAATATATATCTCAAGGGAGAGATTATATGACAAGGGGTCACATTAAAAGAGTAAGATTCAGAGGGATCTGGAGTTCCTTGCACCCATCCATATCGCATACATTCTCTATTTCACTCCTCATTTCATTTAAATTCCACTCTGTTTTCCTCCTCCATCATCCAAATGAAGATCATTGTCACCCTCTGTGTTGCATTTAAGGGTATTCCTAAACTTTATAGCAGTGTTTATAATAGTAGAATAAGCCTTGGTTAATACTGGAATGGGAGACCACTCTACCAAATGCTGTAGGCTATGTTTCAGAGGAAGGGGAAACCATCTCTGAGTATTATTTGCCTAAGAAAACCCTATGACATTCATGGAGTCGCCATACATCAGCAGACAACTTGGAAGCACACATACATAGGCACACAAGGGACTAAGAAGATCTAGATAAGGCTCAGGGGGAAGAGAGAAACAGATGTAGGGAGGCCAAGAGAGCAAACGAGTGAGAAAGAGAAATGTGCTATATTGAAACAAAAGTATCGGAAATGCTTGTGTTGTTGTAAACATGAAGCAACAACATCTGGTGACCTTAAAATTTACAAGAAGTCAAGCTGTGTTGTATTTGTATTATATATTTTGAAGCCAACATCTGGTACTGTAAATGAGGCCTCATATATAGCCAAACTAATGGCCAAACTTCTTTGGCAAGTCAAGTACTCCTGTGTTGCATCTTCCTATGATTATGTGCCATGGAGTGGTTTTCCCTCTGTTTGGTGAGCCAAGAAGCAGTGTAAAGCATGTAATTTAATTAAAGAGTTGTAATTGATCCTTTCTACTGTAGTCAATGCTTTTTGCTCTCCATGATCCAACCCATACTGCACTCTATCCTCATCCCTCTTGGTTTGTAGAATGAATTTTGTTCAAAAATGGATGTTTTCTGGACCTACCTGAAAATTCTAGGGAGTGAACTTGAGTCCTTTTGCAGTCAAAGTAAGGGCAGTCTATCTTGGTTGTAATCCTAAAGTGTGGTCCATGGTTTAAGTGTTATTTCCCTTCTACAGTTTGAAAGAACAAGTTGTATCCTGATGAGAGAGAAAAATCCAAAGCATGTATCATGCTGATCTTTGAGAATGTGAATGATCTTTCAGTGTAATTACATTCATTTGATAGTCAACTGTGGAAGGCAATACCTTGGACCATGTAATTAAAAAGAAGAAACTTATGAAATGAATGGAAGCAGCATCTTCCATGAAATTTTTCTTGTCTTGAGAAGTAAAAAGATGGTGTGAGTAATAAGGCTAGGAGCAGTTTATGTAATGCTTTCATATACAAATATTGTCCTAACTATAATGCTTATGTTTTTCTCTCATTATATGCAGGAGTCAAGAAAAAGCATGAGGAGAAAATAATGAATAATGAAGCTTTTTTGATTGGAGAGAATCATATCTCTGCATTTTTGAATTTTTTTTTCTCTTTTAAGGATCTCCTGAAATAATTCTTTTAGTGGAGTGACATGCCGGATCACTACTGTTTTCTGTTCAACAGAAGTTATAGGATTGCAGGAAGGAAAAGCACAATATGTTTCTGGGATGTACAACCTCACATTTATAGTTAAGAAGTCATGATAAATCATACTGTATAAAAATTCCAAACTTGGTAAAGGAAAAGTGGCAATTTTCAAAAGCTTCAATCTGGAAATAAGATTCTTTGGTATCATCTCATCTACTAGGATGTCAGAAGTTAGTGCTAATTTGACTTTCAATATGAGCACTTCATTTGAAGAGCCAAGAAATGGACTCTCAAGAATGGGACACAACATTGTTGCTATTTTTCTTGGACTAATTCTAGTTTTCGGTTTCTTGAATAACTTGGTTGTCCTCATTCTCTTCTGTAAGTTTAAAACCTTGCGCAACCCTGTGAACATGCTGCTGCTGAATATCAGTGCCAGCGACATGCTAGTCTGCATCTCTGGGACTACACTCAGCTTCATATCAAACATTTATGGCAGATGGATTGGAGGAGAACACGGCTGCAGGTGGTACGGCTTTGTCAATTCTTGTTTTGGTAAGAGATTAAGCACTTCTCTTTCACTGTTCCAGGGATAATTACTACTAGAAGAAATGTCACTGAACATAATGAAATATTATACAATATATATAAGTTGAGGGCAAGTTTGGAGGCTCAAATCATGGATTTTGATGTGACCTGTGGGTAAGTCAAGGGCTATTCCAAAAAGAGGGGCCGGAACAAGAACTTTCTCAGGTGACCAGCCACCACAGGCGATTACTGCCAATTTCCTTGCCCAGGCATTCAACAAAGGTTTTTAACCTCTTCCTTTTCTTCTTTCCTTCTCTCTCTTTCTCTTAAAAATAAGTTAAGGCACAGTAGTAACTCTTTTTCCTTTTGTGATAAAGAACCTTTCCCTTTTCTGAGTAGAACGATAAAAGGGTCTTTATTTCAGGAGAACTTGAAAGAAGCAAAGAGTTGCTGCTGCTACAGTTTTTCCACCCAGGCATTTTGAAAGGTCAGAAGTGGGTGCTACAGCAGATTGAGTAGAGGGGGTTAGTACTTCTTTTAAGTTCTCCTGGGATGGATTACATTTTCACCTTTTGCTGCTCTATACAGAGAAAGTGATGATTTGTTTTTTAAATAAGAGATAATGTACACTGCTTACATTGACTTATATAAGTTTATCCAGTTTTTGGGGTTGATTATTGACTAAAATTTCTAGAGATATATATGAGTAGCTTCCCTCTTCTAGCTTTGTTTGATGTTCATGATATAGTTACTTGTTACCTTCATAAGCACTTAATTAGTTATCTTGATTAGAATCCTCAGGCTGAGATGCACACTTCTTAGTAGCAGGGGTGTGCGATTCGGTTAAATCCTATTCTGTTTTTGGTATCCAGATTTTGGTAGACCCCCAGATCCATTTTTCGGGAAACTCCTGAATTCAGTCGGGAAAAAAAAATCTATATCCTGATCCAGCAACCAAAAGATTTGGTAAGATTCGTCCCATTGGCCTCAATGCAGAACTTATGAGGTTCCCCTTTCTGTCATTTTTAGGGAATCAGTCTTAAGAAACCATCCTTTCTGGGATCCCTTCTCCTTGGACCTCTTCACACGCACCATTGGTAGTTCCCGCCCTACACCATTCAGGTTTCTCCCTTATCCCACAGAGGAAAGTCTAAGCCTCAGTAAGCCGGTTGGGTTCAGGCTTTTAAAAGGGAACCTTGGCTATTTCTCCCTCCACTCTCCCTTCTTTCTTCAGTCTGGGTTTCATGTTGCCAGAGGTAGCTGGCATCCTCTCAGCTTCCTCCTCATCACATGGGTGGAAGCCTCTAAGTCAGGTCAAGGATGGGAAACTTCCCATCTTTATGGAAAGACGGGAAGCCTCCCATCCTTTCGGGGAGCCTTTCTCCTTATATCTTTCAATAAGACCCGAGTTAAAGGGACCAGGCTTAAGAAACCACACTTTCTGGGATCGTTCACCCTCAACACCCTTTCAACAAAGCTGAGTTAAGGAAGGCACCCCTTTCAAACACTTATTTCAGTGGGAGCTACACTACCTGTAGGAGCATTAGCCATTCTTAAAAAAAGATATTAGTTACCTCCTCATTTTATGGTGGCTTTAGAAATGGTAAGATATGTCCTCTACCCACATTTGAAGCTTGCCTTGGGTGAAGGCCACCATTGGTGACAGTTTCCTAAGTGTGTAGAAACTAAACTGCTTATTTATTGCTGTTTGAGTGAAAAACTCAAGCCATGCAGAGCTCTGAATGGCACTGAGAATTTAGATCACTAATCTGTGTTTCTCAGAAGCCTGCTCATAACAGAAAAAAATGGAAGCCCAGCTTGGCTATAAGATGCATCATGACTCTCTTCTGTTCTCAACAGGCAGGGCTCATAGGGAAACTCTGTGGGTGCATGGCTGCCGCTCCACGTGTAGCCGAAAGAAACAGAAAGTTGTTGTTTCCAGCAGCCATATGGTTTGTTGCAGCCAGAAAAAAAATCGTGGCAGAGCCTAAGCTGTTATGGCTGTCCAAAAGGGCTGAACCAGCCAGAGCCCATTTGTAAAAACTAACTACATTGGCCTTCCTCTGTCGGTGATCCGGAAGCTCAAGTTGGTACAAAATGCAGCTGCTCAGCTTGTGGGAATTCCGATGAGATGCCACATAACACCAATCTTACTACAGCTGCATTGGTTACCAATTGAGCACCGGATCACTTTCAAAGTGGTGGTACTCACTTTTAAGGCCTTGCATGGTCTGGGGCCGATGTACCTGAGGGACCGCCTCACCCCCTACCAACCCCAGAGATCCCTCCGTTCTGAGGACCAAGATCTATTGGAAATTCCCAGTGTCAAGACCTTTCGTCTAACAGCAACCAGACACAGAGCCTTTACAGCAGTGGCACCATCACTCTGGAATACTCTGCCACCTGAAGTCCGTGCCTTGCAGGACTTATTAGCTTTCCACAGGGCATGTAAGACATACCTGTTTCCACAGGCCTTTGATTGTTGATTTGCTGTTTTTAAATTGTTTTTAAATTGTTTTAAATTGTGTTAGATTTTAGTCATTCTTGTAAGCCGCTCCGAGCCCCAGGGGAGTGGCGGCATATAAGTTTGAATAATAAATAAATAAGTAAATAAATAAATAAAATGTACACAACCCTGCTTAGTAGTCCTGGATCTGAAATTTTATTTCCTGCTGGGATGTAAATTTTTGTGCTGTAGCAGAAAGCAGTTTGGAAAATCATTTCAGGGAAGACCTAGGCATGTCTCCATGAACACTTTATCCTAAGGATGGGGGTGAATCAGCTCCTTGGTGGCTAGATGATACACAGACCTAATTCAGGTTAATGTAGGCCAAGGCTGCCTAACACATCCTTGAATTGCATCAAAAAACCTTACAGGTTGCTATGGAGTTTCCCCAAAATTTGGAAGCAAAGGTGCACTCTGGACCCATGTAAACAGTTGGACTGGTTCCGAGATGGAATTGGTCACAACTTACTCAGCCATCCCGCTTTCCCCAGTTATGAGCATACTGAGGATATGGATGGCACTTACTGCCCTCCCGCACAGAGTATTTCTCTTTTAACAAGTAGTCCTAACCATTTTAATGATTGTGGTGACTGGGATAACTGTAGTGGCAATTATTTTTTCAATGCATTACTGTAAATGATCAAGGTTGCTTCTGTGCAAAAAAAAAAAAAGTTTACACACTGGCAACAGTTGTTGACTAAAGTGTTCAAATTCAAATAGTTAATTATAATGACTTTTAAGAGTTTTTGGTCAGGAGAAATCTTCAAATGACAAATTCCAACTTCAGGAAGCAAATGTTTGTGCTTGGAGTACATCCTTTGACACTACAACTGTGATACATTGGTTTGAGTAGTGGACTTTAAGTTTAGGAGACATTGGTCTGAATTCCCATTCAGCCCATGCAAATCCAGTGGTTGACCTTGAGCAAGTTCTTGTTCCCAGAGGGAGGTAATGGCAAGCCACCTTTAAATCTTGCAAATAAAATCCTGTGATAGATTTGCCTTTGTGGCATCAAGCAGCAGCAGTAGGAACAACACATCTTTTGATGACTATGTGTTTGTGGATTCACAATTTAATGTGGCTTTCAGGTGCTATAGCTTAAGAAAATTAAGTGGCTCCCTAAATATATCATTGGTGACATAGCAAAAAGAACCTAGATGCTCTGAGTCATTTTTATGTAAAGAATGATATGTAGGACAAGAGAAAGTTAGATTCATGGGACCAGTTGTTCAAAGGATCTGAGTATAGTCTCCCTTCATATTCACAGATACAACCACCCACAGTTTTAAAATATTCAATAAAAATTCCAAAAAGCAAAGCCTGGTTTTATAGTTTTATGTAAGGGACACAGTTTCCCTCCTACTTGGTATCTGGGGGGGGGGGGGGGTGTCATGCAATCAAACCCTAGCAAATAGCAAGGACCCACTGTATTCACTCATATTGACCTTTTTGGTTTCTTGTGGTAACTTTGGAAAATTGAGAACAAAAAATCCAGAATGAAGGCTGTCATTTACTTTTGACTTGGCATTGAATTTATGAAGGATATTTGTGCTGTCGCACGCTGGGCCTGTGCATAAGACTGTAGACAGGACATAAATTCCGTGTGCCCAATGGGACGCCGGGGCTACCTCAGATTAAAGGCCCTTGGATTTCCTTAAAACAGAATCTTTAGATTGCTTAAAGGTTCAACAATGTTCTTTATCAATGAAAACAAACAGGTACTTTAAAGCTTTCTTAACAGTCTATTGGCTCTTTCAGTCTTGTCCACAGGGAACAGGCACTATCTTCATGACTGGTATTTTAACTAATGGGGAAATCCTTAACTTCTCATCTGGGCAGTCTTTCTTTGCCTCTGTTGGCGTGGAGCCCCTACACCCGGTACCAACTGTTTCTGGCTTCCGCGAATGACCCTTACCAAGCGAATGACCCTTTGTAGACTTCCAGAGGGAAAAGGAGTTCAGGTTTCGGTGATGGCTGGCTGAAGTCCCTCAGCAAAGGAGCTGTAAGGCTGTATAATCCTTGGCCAAGCTGTAGGGCTGTATAACTCCGGCCAAGCTGTAGAAGACGAAGCTTTCTAAAGGAGCTCTTGGTATTATGTCCTGCATGGAAAGCTTCTCTGTGTGGACTGAACCCAAAAAGGCTCCTATTCCCTCCAAAAACCCCAAAAGGGGGCGGGACCAGGAAACCTAACTATAATTGACAGGTGGCTTGCCCTATGATTGCAGCCAAAAGAAGCCACCTATCTGCAGAGTCCCTGAAACTTAGGACTAAAACAAACATTAAGCAAACAAAATTGGAGCTCCTGGTGCAGTTGTACCTGCACAATATCGTTTTTACGATTTTATTTCTTTTATATATTGAAAATAATCTTTTGACAATTTCTTTTGTACAGTTTAGGAAAGATGATGGCTTCATGGATCTGAAATAGCTAGGCCTACCCAACAAGTTGAGCAACGTTTTAGCAAAACATGATTTAAAATATTAATTCCAATGGTCTATTTTTTATAATATTTTTATTAAA